AAATTATCATTAAAAAACTCCTCAACACTATAATATCCCTTTGATAGTAGAAGCGATTTAACATCTTTCTTGAATTTTATTGGGTTAAAAATTTTCCTCAAGCTGAGTGGTAGTTTGTTGAAACATTTTTTACCCATATAGATTAGAGCGAACACTGGTTTTAAACATAAGCCTAATTGCTCGTTTCTGTAACACAAAAAGCTTATTGAAATTGAACTGTGAGCAATTTCCCCAAAAACAAATTCCATAGCGCAGATGGGATTTTATTAGTGCAAAATATGCGTTCCTAGCTGTATTAAAGTCTAGCTCCTTACAAATTATTCTAAGAGCGTAACAATTTGAAGCCAACTTTTTGGATAACCCTTCAATATGTGGCTCAAACTTAAGCTTGCTGTCAATGCAAACCCCCAAAAAAGTATTTATCTCAGTTTTATTGATAATTTCACCGTCTAGGTATATATTCTCTATACCACATTTGAAAGACATTATATTTGTTTTATTAATATTAAATTTTAAACGGTTCGCATCTGCCCACTTTTTAATATCACAGTGTGACACGCCGTCCCAGTGTGAACTTAATCATTTGAAATATAATATTAAAATTTTTTTTGGGCATCACTACAGCGGAATCGCGCAACGCTCACCGCTCGAGCGGTGTCAATGTGAACTCGCACTTAGGGTTTCCAGTTGGTTTGATCTTTTGCCAACCGAAAGAATCGTGGCGTCGTCTGCAAAGAGTGTAAATTTACCCTGTATATTAATATTTGGAAGATCATTTATATAGATGAGAAAAAGAAGTGGTCCTAGCACTGACCCCTGTGGTACACCAAACTCCAACTCTTGCTCACCGGAACTGGAGTTATTGAAATTCACTTTCTGGGAGCGGTTTGACAAATAAGCCTGGAACCAATCTAAAGCATTTCCGCAGATCCCATAAGTGTGAAGCTTCCGCAACAGTACTCCACGATCCACAGAATCAAATGCTTTTGTGAGATCGCAAAACACTGGCGCAGCAGCCTCCCCATCATTGAGACTCAAATAGAGCCTTTCAAGAAATGAAAAAATTGCGTCCTTTGTGCTTAGCGACTCGAGAAACCCATACTGCATATCACACAAAAGACCATTACACCCCAGATTAGATACCAAACGCTTTTTCACAAGTTTCTCAATTATTTTTGATAGGGTAGTTAGCAATGAAATTGGCCTAAAATTACTTGGATTATTACTGTCACCACTTTTATGTAGTGCAGTGGCGCAATTAGGGGGGGGGGCTGGGGGGGGCTTAGCCCCCCAAGCTTAAGATTAGCCCCCCCAAACCTGATGATCACAAACTCAAGATTAGCCCTCCCAAACCCGCGCGAGCAGATCTAAGTAGCTTTCCAGTGACGCACTTTAAGCACTCCTGAACTGCTCTAGAGCGCCCTGGACTGTCTATAGGCGTTCCAGTGCATTAGAGTTTCGCGCAACCGAACTGTTCGTTTGTCCTCTCCCCTGTCCTCTCAAGCACCTGCTATTTTATGGGGGCATCAAAAACACGAAGGTTAAAGTAGGGTGAGTTCCAGTGACATACCAGTTTTTTAACCCTTTCGTCTGATGGTTCGTGTCTGTGCACTTAGGAGGAATTTAATTTAACAGAACTTGTTCAGTTTTTAAGTTGTTTTTAGTACCGATTACTACCGATTTAACTAGTTTAAGAAGTTTCAAACTCAATATATTTTCAGTGGCGTATCTACCGGTGTGCCATGTGTGCGAAGCACACAGGCCCGGCCCCGAAAGGGGCCCGTGAGCTCCACAGTGAAACTACAAAAAATAAAATTATTAATTGTGTTTTTATTTTTTTTCTGGTATAATAATGATTAATATATGGGCAATAGTCTATTTACACGCAAAAAAAATACCGGCAGGGGTATAGTATTTTTATTCTGACTTGAAACACTGCATTATACAAGGATGTTTCAACATCGCGTCACTCGTCTTCTATTAATTTCATAGAAAATCTATTGTAAGTTTCCCATTTGAAGAAATAAAAATTATGTGACGCCCATGTCTTTTATTTGTTTCATGTATGCCGACTAGATGTTTTTTTAGTGTTTCAATTCGGATTAAAAATACTATATATAGTTTTTATACCACTTTTGAAAATGGTGAATTCACAATTGGGCGTGGCGTGGCACCCAAAAAAAAATTCCGCCTCCGGCGGGGTATCTGTAATGGGCCCGCGAAGATTTTGACACACAGGCCCGGAGCTGGGTTGATACGCCACTGTATATTTTTACTTACATAATTATATGTTTGTACAGTCGTGAGCATAAAAAGTGGGACACCCGACTGACAGGTCTTGTCATTTTTCGCTATTTTGGGTAAATCAGTCTTTTCTCTACAATGGATTTTTAGTCAAATATGACAATCCCTGTCATTGCCGTAGGTATAGCTGATGAGCTCGTTTTACAATAGGAAAAAACGGGTGTCCCTCTTTTTATGCTCACGACTGTACATAAAAATGGCAACGTTCACCAGAACCAAAACGGATTGTAAACAGTTTACAAATACCAACAGACGAGGGATGTTTCACGATCGGCATTGGTGTACAAATTTACGGCAATAATACAGTGAGAGTAATGATTTAGGAATTGTGGGCTTTGAATAGATAAATAAGGGAAATTGAGGTAGTGATAGAGGAATTGACGGCATTGAATCGATTTCGGAATTGACGTGATTAATGTCAGAATTGACGGCATTGATATCGGAATTGATGGCATTATTGATGTCGAAATTGACGGCATTGATGTTGGCATTCTTGACATTGATAACAACATTGTCGGCATTGACAGAAATGTTCGCAGCAATCGCCATAGGCATTGACTAGGCAGTGTTATTAAACATTGCCTAACTTAGGCAGTGGTGTACACATTTTTGGGTAGGTGAAATACCCCTCGCCAACAGAATACGTTGGGTAAACTCTTGGGTTCTGCTGAACAATTCAATTTTTCAATGATAAAACAGCACCCTCTGAATGTCTTTCAAATTATGCTTGCAAAAATGGCGACCGTTTGCAAAACATGTTTGGTTTCAACACAAATTCAACGTAGCGTTAAGCAGAACAATCGCAAAGCGTTTACCAACGTTTGTATCTGGTGAACGCAGCCGTCTTTTATAACTTTGTTTTTTTTTTTTAACTAAAAACGTAGATTATAGCAATTTTCGGGTTCGAAAAAAGCTATAATCTACGGTTCTAGAGCAGTTCAAAACAATCGCACAGTTCATCAATCAACAAAATGACAACGGCTCAGCTATCATAAATTTCAATAACAAACTGTGCGATTGTTTTGAACCATTCTAGAACTGTCCTTTTTTCGAAACTGAAAATAGCTTATATCAAAGAACAACATTTTTAGCAATTTCCGTCAAATTCAGGCATTTGTGAAATACGTACTGTAGTGAGTTTTGAACAACATCATATACTGTCACGAAATCGACTTATAGAGACCCGGGGCTCAAGCCCCCCCAAAACCAACAAGCTAGTTGCGCCCCTGAGGTGCTTTCCAGTGACCCATTTGAGTTACTCCTGAGCAGCTCAGGAGTGCTCCACAATTGCTTTGCGCGTTCCAGTGCTTAGAGTGTCATACACTTGAGCTACTCATTTCTGTTATCCCCTGCCCCCTCGTGCACCACCCCTTTTGTCTGTGTTTCATGCTCCTGAAATCCGAAATGGTGGGGGTTAAGACGAGAGCGTTCCAGTGCTGCTTATGTCGAACAGTTCAAGAGCGTCACGCTTCAAGAGCATGATACTCTAACAATTTAGGCACTGGAAAGCGGCTCTGATGTAGTGGTATCACTACTGCCCTTTTTAAATATTTGGGAAATTTTCCTCCATGAATCCATGATTCAAAAATGACAACGGATCCAAATTTGATTCAATCTTATTATATAAGTCAAGCGCAACTGAGCAGTAACATTCATTTAGATCGTTGGCTGTAAGGTTTGATTGCGTTCCGGAAACCTTAGTTCTTCCAGTTAAATCATTTACAATTAGCCAGGACTCTTTTTGTTTATTTTTACTAGTAGAAATTCTATATTTATAGTATGAATTTTTAGCAGTTTTTATTAAAAATCGGTAAATTTTTCTATACTCATGACAATAAGAGGTAAAAAAAATCATTATTCATATGAAATTTCCTAATATAATGCAAGGAACGCATATTCTTTGAAGAAACTCTAAGGGCACGAGTAAACCATGGTTTCTTTTTCCTATATTTTACATTTCCAATAGGGAAAGATTTATTGCAGACATCCAAAAAAACTGAGTGGAAAGAAGATAATATGGACAAACAGAATTCAGTACAATTTCCCAGTCAACATCTTTGCAAATGCTTAAGAAGCGGTTGTAGTTTCTGGGTGTGAGCAAGCGTCTTTTTTTTGGAGCTGGCTTATTTTTCAATAAAAACTGACAAAGGATGGCTTCGTGCTCTGAGAGGCCTGCATTTAATGTTTCACAGAAAACACAATCAGGTTCAAAATTTGAAACAACACAATCAATGAGGGTGCGAGAAAAACTAGTGATGCGAGAAGGTTCATTATTATGCATCTTTAAATTATAAGATGGTATCAGGTTGGTAAGGCCACACAAGTGTCTTCAAATACATACAAATATGTAAGTAGGCTGTCTGTGTCTTTTGAAATCATTTCATTTTGTTTGAAGCTGCAAGACTAAAAAAATCTAACCGACGTATGACTTACTAGATGACTTGTTGATTTGCATATTAACTTCTTGACTTACTACAATCCACAATGTCTTACTCAGCCGCTCAACAACAGTAAGTAGTAAGTACCTACTTATTATTATTTTCCAACGACGACGTGATCTACTGCCGAGAAAGTGAATTGATTATAGTTATAAAGTAGTAGATCAAATAAATAATTAAACGAAACAAAACTGTTACGCTACTGTCGTACAAGCAAGCGTATTACTATTGCTGCTGTCCTGTTGCCTTCCTCCTCCTGCGGAAAAAGCGAGACTACAGGCTCGTTTTGTGCCGAGCCCGAGCAAGATAGAAACAAATGGCCAATAATGCCTGCTATGCAGGAGGCGCCGTTCTTTAGTCGGTCGTTCGCCAGCATCAGCCCTGAAACGGATTTTATCTTTTTATTAACAGAAACGGCAACGTTGCTCTCTGATTCGGTGTGTGGTGTATATTATACTACTTGTTCAGTATGACCTCACATACAATTAATGAATTAATTCTGACACTTGTTCCGGAATTAAGTGTCTAGTGTTTGTGTTGAAAAGTGCGCGATTATAGTGTCGTTAAAGACTCATGTCATGGACAATAAATAAGGGGATGGCGGATGGAGAAGCGCCAGAACGGGAACTCGAACAGCAAATATTGCAAATCAAAAAACAGCACCAGCTTCAGCATCAAATTTTGCTGCAACACTTTCAGCAACAGCAACAACATTTGGCCGAACAGCACGAACAACAGCTCAGATTGCACCTGAAGGAGTTCTGGGACAGGCAAAAGCAACTACAAGAGTTGAGGCAAAGAGAACAACTAGAAGCTCTCAGGAAAAAAGAGAAACATGAGGAAAGTGCGATCGCCTCCACGGAGGTTAAGCAAAAATTGCAGGATTTTTTACGGCAAAGGAGGTCGGGGAATTCGAAGATTGCCCGTCCCGAAAATTCTTGCTGGTAAGTGTTTGTATACACCAAAAATTAAAAATTTCTATTTTTGCGTCTGAAATCCGCTAACTGGGTATTGCAATTCAAGGTTACGTTCCGAGAAAAATTGCTTTCCATGTGCAATAAATTTATACACAATTTATATGCATTTATTTGAATCATACTTTTCTTCGTGTTTCCATACAAATATCATGCAAAAATTATCTACATACCTACTTATAAAAATAGTTATCATTATAAGCTACTTAAAAAAGATCAAAGATTTCTTAACAAGTGGTTAATTATTATTGATCACCTCAATCAAAATTTCATATTTTAATTAAGAATTCCTTGTTTTTAGATCATATTATTATTGAAGCGGTATTAAATAATGAAACATAGTAAGTAAACTGCTGGACAAATAAAACGGAACAAGCGATTCTTCTCTGGTTCGCGTAATATTGGAATCCAAAGTTGAACTAAAAATTCCCTTGTTCTGTTTCATTTGTCCAGCACTTTAGTTAGGTATCTATTTATTAGGAACGATAATGATGTATTGTAGAAAATTGAAAAAAATACCTTGTTTGCAAATAAACAGGATCATTAATGTTCTTCGCAAAGAACAAAAATACAATAATTGAAGTGAAAATATTAAAAAATCGACTCTTGTTTCATTATATACTGCAATTGAATTGAATACTTGACCAATTAAGTATTCCATGTGAAGTTATTACTGCATTATTTCCCTGCAAAATACATTACAAAGATAGCAATCTTCGAATATGCATATAACTAGGACACACACAGAGAGATAATTAAATTCATCCAAATTATTCCATTAAGCTATTTAGCATTTAAATTTGCCTTAATAAATATTTATCAATCCCTCATGGTAGCCTCCACTCGTATTATCGTTATTTTAACATAAACAAACACGAGATATCGGATTGCGACGAAAATTCGTGTGTATTGTTGACTATGTTGTTAATGAATGGACATTAATAAGACACTTGTTTACGATTTAAAAAAATATTCCTTCTTATCAGTGTATTCTTGGTAATAAACTTGTTTGTTTAGTCAATTAGTGGTATAATTTACAATAAAATACGTGTAACGACAGTGAAAAGAAGGAAATGTTCTTAACAATTTGAAATTGAAAGAAGAAAAAATCATGATGATTAATGGAATATTTGGCAATCGAAATTTTAGTTTAAATACGCAAGTAGTAGATACAAAATGTGTTACTAAAGTTTTACAAGATTGAAATTATTTGTAGAGTTTTTCTTCTCTTATCAAAACTTTGACAAAGCTACTCAGAAGTGCTTAAGATCTGACTTCCAGACGACTACTATATGCGCTATTTTATAGACGACATCGTACTCCTGATTTATCTAGAAGGTTTGTTTTCTCGAATGAAATAAAATTCCCAGATTAAACGCGCTGGTAGACGTGGACAAAAATATACCTACTTTCTGGCAAATTAAATAAAATTTATTTTAAACCTGGATGAAAATTTTATAGTGTTGAACGACCATGCATACTTACAAGCAGATAGGTACAATTATTTCGAAAGTGAAGTGGCCGCCTGATGTACCTGAAATGAACCCTAGTGAGCTCAGTATGAAGACAAGAATGCAAAAATTTATCTCAAGATTACTTTTTTCCGCCGCCTCTTTGTATTAAAACCCGGTGGTTATCCACCGTTTCCCCCCTGTAAACAGAGAACAGGTTGTTATTTCTATTTTTAGCCGTCCGGGGGTGGAAACCTAATTTAATATCAGCGTCAGCGTCAGTCAAGTCCCTTTCTCTCTCTCTCCCATTTTCTATACTTCATTACTTGGAATGAGATTGATGTTATATAAGGTAAAACCGTATTCTCCAAGGTAACACTTGGCTTAGATTGATTTTGGTTTTTATTCACCAAATTTTCTACATGGAATAATTTATTGGATTTAGATTAAGTGCTTTTAAGGGGATTAAAAACATAAAAAAAAATAATTAGTCAGGGAATAAACCCAAAATTAGAATTATGGTGTTTTTTTTCCTTAAAGATGAAAATAGATCAAGAATAAAAAATATAAATATTATGTACCCAAATATAGCATTATCAATTTTGGGTAACGAGGGAAAATCCCTCGATTTCTGTTGCTTTGTAATAATTATTACTGGCAAATGCGGACAAAATTATCAAATTATTTTAGAGTTCAAATTCTATTCATAAGTATTGTCGCTTATTTACAAGATATGTAATCATTCACTAAATAGCTGCTAATGATGGTTTAAAAAAAAAAATCAATGCTCTATTTCTGGATATCGATTGCGAATTAAATAAATAAATCATGTTAAGATCAATGAAGATGTCGATTGAATTAAATATGGAGAAGTTATGATAATTAATTATTTATAACAATAATTGTTATCTTTTAACTGGTTCTGTTTCACATTGAAATGCCAATTTGATGCAATTATTAAAATTTCAAAAAAAATGTGAAACTTTGCACATACATACTCACTTATATCTTTTTTTTTTCTCTTCATTCATGAACTTTTCCCTGTACCATATCGACAAACCATTATACAGGTACCTACTTAATTTTTTTTGCTTTTCATTTTCCATTTTTTTATACATACTTATTACAGAAAAATTGTACATTAAACAATTATTTGTTTGATACTTCTAAAAGACGCTGCTATTTTTATACCACATATAGGCACCTACTAAAAACTAAATATAAAATATTTAAACGAGTCAGTAGGTAGGTACTTACTTACTACTAAAATTGGCTCGATCAAATTATTGTATATTCCTATTTTTTGATTAATTATGTATAAAGTAGTCAGTTGTCCAAACGACTATATTTCCTTGAACAAACATTAAAAAAGTATTTATTTTACCGTTTTTCTAACCTGTCATTGAACTGGAGTAAATTCATCTATATTTAATGAAAAATACTAGGAAAAATGATATTATGACGTAATAATTAAATTTTTATTAAGTATGTATAGTATTTTTAATACCTATTTACTGTCGTTTTAGTGACAAAACGTGTGTCGCTTCTTGACACACAAATAAAATTAGGTTAGGAACTTCCTATTTGTAGATGAAATTGACGTATTAGCAATCGACGTTCGTTTTTGTTGGTAATTTTTTGTTTCATCTGATTCGTGATTGATAAATAAGGATGAGGTTATTCTAAATGGGTATTACAAATACTATATCATATTTTGCCTCACAAAAAAATATAATTCTTTTTAGAAAGTTTGTTACCTACCTATTTTCTTAAATCACTTTCGATCACTTTGATTTTTTATTATGTTTTTCTTCAAAGACTGAAAAATAGTTTTTCAAAATCTCGTATTTCCACCTTGCGTAGTTTTTGAGTACTTAAATAACAAATATTAATTTTTCCAAAGTTGTAACTTTATTGTTAAATCAATAATCTAAGGACATGATTTCTAGGATCTTAAAAATCATTACAATAGTCAGATAAGAACAAAACATAGATAAAAAAATAATAAAACAGAATGTTAAGCACAAGATAAAACAAGAATAAATACAATTTAAATCAAGAACATTGTAAAACAAGAGTAACATATATTATTCATACATGCAAATAAAACACTAATATATAATAATATGCTAGTATATAGGGCAGGCCTCAATTAAATCTAAGGGTAAAATACCTGATTTAAGTTATAAAATGCCAATGGTACGGACTAATGAGAGATTCTTAACTCCTCCTGAACAACAGATAGTTGTTCAGCATTCTAACCTCCAATGGTTAGTGTGTGATTAGTTGTGATTGGCCCTATCATGAAATAACACTGTTGTATAGAAGTTCAGTTTGGAGGGGACAAACCTTCCTTATCAATTTGCTGTTTAATGAAAGCAAAAGTTGAACCGCCATCCTTATTTTCAAACCTCACTACAAATTGTAGACCTATCATCACCAAATCACGCAGACATTCAGCTAAGGATGAACAATTTATAAAGCAGGAAATCAAGAATCTTTTAGAAGACAATATTATTGAAGAAAGCAATTATTTTCCTTGGCGAGCTCAGGTTTTAGTAGTCACTCACAATGAAATTCGGAAACGACGTATGTGTATAGATTATTCACAGACCTTCAACAAATTTACTCTACTAGACGCCTATCCGCTTCCAAAAATTGAAACATTTGTCAATAAGATTTCGTATTATGAAATGTTTAGCACAATTGATTTGAAAAGTGCCTATATATCATCAGATACCCATCAAAGAACAAGATAAACCATAAAGTGTATTCGAAGCTGCTGGTAAGTTGTATCAGTTCCGAAGAATACCTTTTGGTGTAACAAATGGAGTTGCTTGCTTTCAAAGGGGACTTAATAATTTCAGAAAAAAAATTGACAGGCGTTTATGCTTATTTGGATGATGTAACCGTGTGGAGCGGAAATCAAGAGAAATATGATCAAAATTTGAAGAAATTTCTAGAAGCCGTTAGCAAACGTGGACTTACACTGAATCAAAATATGCTCAAAAATCAATCAATATCTCTGGCTACACTATACAAAAAGAGCTATGAAACCCGATCCGCACAGACTATCGCCACTTTTGAACTTACCGGTACCCAAGAGCACAAGTGAACTTCAGAGAGTACTAGGAATGTTCTTCCATTATTCTAAATGGATACAGGATTTTTCAAATAAAATCAGAAGTCTCGTCAGCTGTAAGTATTTTCCTTCACTAGAATATCAAATCCTGGATTTTGAAACGATAAAGACAGACATTGCAAACTTACTTCTTTGGTCAATAAATGGACATGAAACTTTAGTTTTGGAAACTGATGCATCAGAATTCTGTCTAGCCGCGACTCTGGGTCAATCAGGAAAACCTGTAGCTTTTTTCTCAAAGACATTGTCTGAATCAGAAAGAAAGCATTCATCTGTAGAAAAAGAAGCATATGCATGTGTAGAAGCGTTAAGAAAATGGAGATACTATCTAATGGGACGACATTTCAAACTTGTGACAGATCAGCAAGCAGTTTTGT